TCCGGCCCGCCAGGCCCGGGACCTCCATCGGCGCCGCGGCCCGGGCTCCTCCGGGGTTCCCCGCGGGGCCTAGGCCGCGTGCGGGGCGGGGGACAAGGGCGACGGTGATGGGGTCCCCCTCCTCCTCCCTGGGTCTCCCTCCGGGTGTGGCCGGCGGTGGGGGGGAACCTTTCCCCGGAGAGTGAAGAACCGGTACGTCTCCGACGAACCCATTGTACAGGTGGTAAACTGAGGCACGCAGAGTGGGGGGAGGGAAGCAGAGGCTCTCTCAGCCCCCCCCCCTACCCCGACCTCTGCCCTCGCTCGACCTCAGTTTCCACATCGGTGGCGTCCAGGTGTCCAGCTTGCTTGGTGATGGTTGTCTGTCCTTTCTTCCTTCCTTCCTTCCTTCCTTCCCTCCATCCCTCCATCCTTCTCTCCATCCCTCCCTCCTTCCCTCCCTCCTTCTCTCCATCCCTCCCTCCTTCTCTCCATCCCTCCCTCCTTCCCTCCCTCTTTCTCCCCATCCCTTCCTCCTTCTCTCCCTCCCCTCCTCGCCCTGAGGGGCTCTGCTAGGATTTATCGGAAGGGGCCATCCCCGGAGGAGGGAAAAGTGGGGGGCTGCTGGGCGTTCCCCCCCTTAATCTGTCTGGACAACCCAGGAAAGTTTAGCCTCAGTTGCACCCGGCCCGGACTTGCTGGGCCGGGTCTGCTCTCTGCTTGGAGGGGCCCCGTGGTCAGTGTTTGCAAAAGAGGGGGCTGGGCAGGCTGCACCCCGGGGTGGGGGGCGCCTGGAAGTTGAGGGAGCCTGGCCCGGGGACTAGCACGGCCCCCCGCTGTGCCCTCCTGAAGGAGGCCCAGGAGGGGAAGGGAAAAGCCAGTAGCTGCTCCAGAGACCCCAGGCCGCCCCGCCCAGCCCGGGCTGTGCATCTCTGGAAGGAACCGAAGGCGCAGCAGAGGTTAAATAATCTGTAATCTTCCAATCGCACCATTGCCGTGAATAATTTGGGGGTGTTACTTCCTTTGGTGTGTTCCTGTAAAATATTTCTGGGTAACGGTGGTGCAAGCGCACCTGGTGTCCTGCATTTGGCCCTTTGCACTTCTCAGATCATTAGAACGCTCCATTCTGGTGAAGCTGGTTAAAAGGAGTAATTCCTGGAACTAACTGGCATTGGGGAGAAATTGAAATCTCAGTGGCTCAGAAATAGGGGCGCGGGGGGCAGAACAATGTAATATTGGTTATCTTCCTATTGTGCTGAAAATCCTTTGTCTCTGGGGCTCAGAATCCCACAGTGAAGACATAACTTCACAAAGGCTAGGCGGGTTTTGTGTTCTGGGCATGTGTGCTCACTGGTACTGGGGCTTGGACTCAGGGCCTGGCACTCTTGTTTGGATCACAGGTGGCACTCTACACATGAACCAGGCCTCTACTCTGGCATTTTGCTGGTTTATTGGAGATGGGCACTGCTTGGATTTGTCTGCCCAGGCTGGCTTTGATCTTCTGACCTTTAGATTTCAGCTGCCTGAGTAGCGTGGATTACTAGTATGAGCTACTTTAAGATGTGAATCAGTAGTAGATAAAAAGTCAAAGGTAGCGGGGCCATGGTGGCTCACGCCTATGATCCTAGCTACTTAGGAGGCTGAGGTCTGAGGATTGAGGTTCAAAGCCAGCCCAGTCAGGAAAGTCCATTAGACTCTTATCTCCAATGAACCACCAGAAAACTGGAAGTGGCACTGTGGCTCAACTGGTAGAGTGCTTGTTTTGAGCTGAAGAGCTCAGGGACAGTGCCCAGGTCCAGAGTTCAAGTCCCATGACCGACCAAAAAAAAAAGTCTAAGGTAATTTTCCCCAAGATAATTCAAAACCCACAGGAAGGTTTGCTAAATAAACTGCCTGATGATGACATTGAAAAGATATCTTGCCTTATATCCAACTTTTTTGTTGTTGTTGTTCGTGGAGCTTGATCTCAGGGCCTGGCTGCTATCCCTAAGCTTTTTCGCTCAAGGCTAGCACTGTACCACTTTGAGCCACATCGCTACTTCCAGTTTTCCGGTAGCTAATTGGAGGTAAGACTTAGGGACTTTCCTGCCTGGGCTAGCTTCAAACTGTGATCCTCAGATCTCAGCCTCCTGAGTAGCTAGGATAACAGGCGGTGAGCCACCAGTGCCCAGCTATTTCCAATTTTTGAGCATTTCTTCTTCTTCTTTTTTTTTTTTTGGTCGGTCATGGGGCTTGAACTCTGGGTTTGGGCGCTGTCCCTCAGCTCTTCAGCTCAAGGTGAGCGCTCTACCGCTTGAGCCACAGCACCACTTCCGGTTTTCTAGTGGTTTATTGGAGATAAGAGTGTCATGGACTTTCCTGCCAGGGCTGGCTTTGAACCGCGATCCTCAGATCTCAGCTTCCTGAGTAGCTAGGTAACAGGCGTGAACCACCGTCACCCGGTGAGCATTTCTTCTTAAGCTATGTTATGTTCCTTTGTTTTTGAGATGCTAGATTACTTTCCCTATTTTCTTTCGTGATCATAGGTATCATTTAATTACGTTCAACATCACTAAACAACCACAGCTCCTTTTTGTTGGAACAATCAGGACTTATCAGAGCCTACGTTGTGTGGGGCTCAGGAAGTCGATCTTCAGATGGTCTGCACTCAGGGTTTGTGGTCAGCAAGCAGTCTTCCCCAGTGTTTTCAATTCCTTTTCTTGCAAAGTAGAAATCCTGGTTTGCAGGGGAAGGAGAAGTAGGGAGTGCGATTAATCTGGGCAGTGAAGAAATGAGTCACCGCTGGGAGGCAAGCAGCCGGAGCCAGTGCTAGGGCGCCGTGCTGGGTAGCAAACGCGCTCAGAGCAGCTCTGGTGGGTATCATGGTCATTGATGGGAGCATGAAGGCCCACTGGGTACTGGGCCCTTGGGGAAGATTTCCAGAATCCCCTCCCTTCCTTCCTGTCCACTGATGGCATCCCACAAGGACCCCAACACCCCCTACCCTCCCGCACTCCTCCCCTCAGCAGACACGCTGAGCTTTTTAAAACAGAATACAGATCCCATTACTCTGCCTTAGAAACCTCCAGTGCCTTCTAAGTCTATTTATAATGACATCCAGACACAGTGCATGGCCAAGATACTGTCAGGCCCCAGGGCTGTCTGTCTGTCTGCATCTCTGGTCTGTCCCTGCTACTCTGCTATTGTGCCTGTCTCTCGCCTTCTATACCTGGGGTGCCCCCTCCCCATGGTCCCCCCAGCTCTCCATTAAATGGCATCTTTGCTGGCCACCCTGTCTGAAATGGACACCTGCAGCGGGTCCCTAGGCCCTGGCCTAGTACTTTCTGCCGGGGACATAGCACCATCTGAGAACGTTGGACCATTTCTCTGCCTCACCTGTAGCACGTGACCCCGAGGAGCCCAGGGCCTTTGCTCCACCACCAGCACTGGCAGCGTGCACAGGGTCCCGTGGGGCCCCGTGGGTTTTCTGAGTTCTTTCTGGGGCCGTGGCTTCAGCAGGCGCCTTCAGTCCAGGGCTTTGGGGCTGCAGGTCTGGGATTCTCATGGCTGTGTGTTTTGTGTTGGCAGGAGGAGGTGAAGAAGGCAGCCATCTGCTTCAGCATGAACTCATAATACCTCAGTGGAAGATTCCAGAAAGCCCCTCCAAAGAGAAGGTAAGCAAGGGTCTTGGGAAGGCAATGGAGATGTTATTCTGCACTTTCAGAGAGGACTTGTGTTCTATAGTACTCTTCCTGCTTCTGGTTTTTGCTGCTCAAAAGTAATGAAATTACCCTGAGTGACAGAAACCTACGTGACTCTGTACTTCATAAAGAAGTTGTGTTTTCTCATTTACAAACTAGGTCTTAGCTGGGTGCTCATGCCTGTAATCCTAGCTACTCAGGAGGCTGAGATCTGAGGATCGTAGTTCAAAGCCAGGCCAGGCAGGAAATTCTGTGAGACCTTTTTTTGTCAGTCATGGGGCCTGAACTCTGGGCGCTGACCAGTGCTCTACCACTTAAGCCACAGCACCACTTCTGGCCTTTTCTGTGTATGTGGTGCTGAGGAATGGAACTCAGGGCCTCATGCATGCAAGGCAAGCACTCTACTACTGAGCCACCTTCCCAGCCTTCCCCCCACTTTTTTTTTGGGTCAGTTGTGGGGCTCGAATTTGCCACCTGGGTGGTGTCCCTGAGCTCTCTGGCTCAGGGCTAGCACTTTACTACTTTGAACCACAGCGCCACTTCCTCTGAGAGACTCCAATTAACCACAAGCACACCAGAAGTTGTTGAACTACCACCCTCAGGGGAAGGAGTTGGTATCTAACATCTGTTTGGTTCAAAAGGGCCTGATTATTGGGCTGTATGCATGAGCACAATACCTGCAGTAGAGAAATGCATCGTGAAAGACTTATGTATGGTGACTTCGGAGTCTGGAAAAATGTCCAGAATCCAAACAGATCCCCAAATGTTCCATTTTTTTTTTTCCAGTTCTGAGGCTTGAACTCAGGGCCTGGGCTCTGTCCCTGAGTCTGTCTGTGCTCAAGGCTAGTGCTCACCTTGAGCCACAGTGCCACTTCTAGCCTTTTCTATTTCTGTGGTACTGAGGAATTGAACGCAGGGCTTCATGCATGGTAGGCAAGCGCTCTACCACTAAGCCACCTTAGGTCCCAGCCCTCCAATTTATTTTTAGGAAGGGGGAAATGAACAGAGAACATGTCAGGACAACCATACACAAGGGACCTTTGGCCCCTCAAAAGTAGAGGAGGCTGAGAATAGCTTCAGGAAAGGTCTCGACAGATGAATGGATGGCCATGCAGGAGCAGATTATTTTTCAGAAAGGAGATCTTGGGTAGTGCGGCTTGCCGAGGAACAGATCGGATGCTTTTCCTAGAGGCTCCTTTGTCCCTCCCCATGCAGGATGTGGGCATCCTCAGGAAAGGCCCAAGAAACAGAGCCCAGGATCAGATCCTGCCTTTGTTCCCAGCCCCATTGTCTCTCCAGCTCGTGGGCAATTGTATGCTGTCGGAATTGTCAGCACGGTGCCTGGCACCAGAAACGTTTGATAGAATGAACAAATGAATGACAGAGGTTGAGAGAGACAGACACAGAAAGACAGACAGAGAAAGACAGAGAGATGCCGGTCAAAGCTAGATTGCTACTTCTGTGGTACTGAGGAATCGAACTTAAGTTCTTTTATGTTATTAAACACAGATGGAGCCAGTACCCACACAAAAGCAAGCAAGCAAGCAAATACACATACACTGATGGATCGCCGACAGAATACTAAATGTTAATACTAGATCTGAAGGGTGCAAACAGACAGGGCAGGTCTGCTGTGCTCTATGCAGCTGAATCCATTGCAGCCCTAAAGAGAATAGGAAGGGCTCTGCGGCCTTTTCTAGGGAGCGCGAGCAGCCGGTCATCCCGCCCCCCCCAGGCTCCCCAGGACCACTGGTGTTGCTCAGTGCAGCATTGGAGCTGCAGGGGGAAAGCTGCTCGGCGGCCGAGGACCAGGGCGGCTTCACCACACATGGAGCGCAGCCCTAGTGTTTGCCCGCAGGGTCTGCGTGAGCTCCTTGCAGAGCAGAGAACTGGTGTGGATTAGCCACGAACAATCCACATGAGCACTCGAGTTGCTGCCGAGTCTCTTTGGGAGAGACAGCGTTGTGCTTGGATTGTGTCCCTGTCCCTTTCGTGGCCCCACATGCTTGCCTCTCTTGGTTTAGGAATTCTACCAGCTCTGTTGATAGATGCTGTTTGTCAGAGGCTCTAGTGGGGCTGTGTCTCTCTGTGACACTCTGGGGGACCAGGCCTGGTCCCTGCATCTGGTTTGAGAGGTCCTGAAATCCTTCCTTCCTTCCTTCCTTCCTTCCTTCCTTCCTTCCTTTCTTCCTTCCCTCCCTCCCTTCCTCCCTTCCTTCCTTCCCTCCCTCCCTTCCTCCCTTCCTTCCTCCCCTTCCCCTTCCACTCTCCTCCCCTCCTTCTCCCCTCCCTCCTGCCTTCTTTCTTTCCCTCCTCCTTTCCTCCTTCCTCCCCTCCCTCCCTTTCTGTGCCAGCACTAGGTCTTGAACTGACTGCTTGGGTGCTGTCCCTTAGCCTTTTCTCTCAAGGCTACCATTCTGCCATTTCAGCCACCACAGCTCCATTTCCAAGTTTTCTTTTGGCGGTTAAATTGGACATAAGAGTCTCACAGACTTTCCTGTTGGGGTTGTATACGAATAGCGAGCCTCAGATCTCAGCCTCCTGAGTAGCTAGGATGACAGGCGTGAGCCACCAGCGCCGGGCAGCATTTTGAATTCTGGATCCGTTATTTTTCAGAGACTTGGTGTCAGTTTGAATGCTCAGTGGTAGGGTGAGCGAGCGATTGCTCATTTTCCCGCACGCTCCTTGCCTTCAGACTTACAGCTTCAAATCGTTTCCCTTTGCCTTTGTTTCTGGTGTCACTTTTGCTGTGCTTTTTGGAAGAGTCCTGGAACAGTTTACTTGTGATGTCAGGCATAGTTTTCATGCTCTGTGTGTGTGTGTGTGTGCGCGCGCACGCGTGCGTGTGTGCGTGTGGTGACCCAATCTTGCTATACAATCCAAAGCTAGACTTGAACCTGCAGTCTTATAGTTCTAGCCTTCTGAGGCTAAGATTACAAGAATACACCACCATGCTCAGCTCCCTTTGTATATCTTTCATGCTCCAGGTGGGTACATCTTTAAATCACTAGACAAACTGCTCGTGTTAAACTATAGCTACTTTTTGGCTTAGGAAACTGCAATTTAAGGGGCTCCTACTTACTGCCTCTGAAATGACTGCAGTTTCCAAACTGGGAGCCAAAATTATAAAATCATGTAAGCATGCATGCTGAAGAGATCCCCCTGGTGCTTTACAAACCATAGCTAACATTTCCCAAGCCATACACAGCTCACACTCATCCCACTTAATTCTGACAAGGTCGATTATCAGCATGCTTATTATAATTATCTCAGTATTACTGAGGGAAACACAGGATCACAAGTGTTGATCCAGGTCTGACACCCCTCCCCTCCCCCTCCTCCCAGGAAATTCCTGTGTCTTCTTCCTCTCCACAGACCACACGCAGGCTCTAGGGCAGATCTCAGCCTGGAGCGCCTGCTGGGAGAAAGCGGAAGGGGGGAAGGATTGGGAGGGGATTGAGGTCATTTCATGCCTGGTCTGAAAATGCAGCAGCCCTTCGGTCACTGGCTTCCGGTGGGTGGCCGATCCCGTGCCCTTCGGGAAGCCTGGCTCCCTGCCTTCAAGGAGCTCATTTTCTTCTGTGGTTCTTTCTTCCAGCATCCCTCCGCAGCCGAGCTCAGGGTCGTGGCTGAGGGCCGAGAGCTGATCCTGGACTTGGAGAAGAATGAGTAAGTCAGCAACTTCCTCCTTTATCCGCGAGGAAACAATGATCGTGTACGTCCGCGCCGGACGCAGGTGCCGCTGTTGGGGAAGGAAGCGGTTCATGGAGCTGAGCCCCGGCTCTCAGTCCTTGGACCCTTTGTGGGAGCATCTTACAAGGACAGAGGGGTTTTTTTTGTTATTGTTATTATTATTAATATTTTTAACTGGCTCTGGATTTGCTGAGGTTGCTGGGCTGCTGCGTTTCCGGTGTCTGGGAATTGACCACAGGCCCTAGGGGTGTGTGTGTGTGTGTGTGTGTGTGTGTGTGTGTGTGTGTGAGATTAAGGGAAGGAGCCACCTTTCTAGTTCCTAAACCTACGATTCTGCCAGTCAAGAGTATTGTCAGCAGAAACTCCGGCTTCCCCGGGGCCCCGCTGCGCTGGCCACCTGACCACGTGTGTCCCAGGTGGCATGGCCAGAAATGTCGCCACCCTGATTTGCCATCAAGAATGGTTGCAGCCAGGCACCAGCGGCGCACGCCTGTCATCCTAACTGCTCAGGGGGTTGAGGACCGCTGAGGATGTTCAAAGCCAGCTTGGGCAGGAGAGTCTGGGCGACTCCTCTCGCCAATTCATCACCAAAAAGCTGGAAGTGGAGGAGGTGCAGAAAAGCTAAGGGACAGTGTCCAGGTTCTGAGTTCAAGTACGCACACACACACACACACACACACACACACACACGTCATTGAGGGGTGCTAGCCATGGAGCAAGGCTGTAATGTCTGTGACTGTGGGTGGGCACCACAGAAAGGGCTCTGCGTATCGAGCTGAGGTCTCTGAAGCCCTTTGTCATTTCTCCCCCACCTACTCTGGGTCTGGGTGCTGTCCCTCAGCTCCTCAGCTCAAGGCGAGCGCTCTACCACTTGAGCCACGGCACCACGGACTTTTCCTGCCTCAGCTGGCTTTGACCCGCGATCCTCAGATCTCAGCCTCCTGAGGAGCTAGGATGCCAGGCATGAGCCACCACCGGGCCTGGGCAGACTCCCACTTAGATCCTGCGGTGAAGGGAAGTGTGCACATGCGTGGAGGCCGCAGCCTCCTCTGGGCAGCCTCCACACGCCCAGGCGAGGCTCAGGGCAGGGTCTTTCCTGAGCCAGGGAGACAGGAATGGAATGTAAGGCATCCCAAATTTGGGCTCTTGGGAGAGCTGTGTGGGGAGTGTGATTACTGAGACGGTGTGGCTCGCGCCTCTCTTCTGCCTCAGGGACTAGTGTCCTCTAGGTCACCGTGGTCATTGCTGCTCTCCTCTGGTGTGAAGCCAGGCCTTTACTGGCCTGGGGACACGCCGCCCCCTCCCTCTCAGGGGTTCTGCCTTGTGAGTGTCCCGCAGTGTTAGGGAAAGGCCCCTAGAGGGGTTGTTCCTGACAGTCCGTGAGCTCTTGTTTACTTTCCTGCTGTCATCCGCCTTTCTTTTGTCTAGTTCAGCCCTGGAGTGGACCACGTGCCCCTCCTGCCCCCCCTCCCCCTTCCACGGCTCACCCCCAAGTGTTTGGGGGTGTTCTCTTGAGCAGACCTTAAGATATTGGGTCCATGGAGCGTCCTTCCCTCCCCTCTTGGAATTGGGGGCCAAAGATCAGGGGAAATAAGAGCAGGGAAAGAACAATGAAAGTCAGGGCTGGGAAGGTGGCTCAGTGGTAGAGCGCTTCAGCACCACATAAACAGAGTGGCGCTGTGGCTCATGTGCTAGAGCACTAGCCTTGAGCTGAAGAGCTGAGGGACAGCGCCCAGACCCAGAGTTCAGCCTCACAACTGTTTTACACACACACACACACACACACACACACACACACACACACATCAGACTCCTGTCATCCCAGCCGTGTGGGGAGGCTGAGGTTCCCATGAGGATCAGAGTTCCAGGCCAGCCTTGGGGGAAAACAAAAACAAAAACAAAAAAAGGCTTGTGAAACCCATCTCAACAGAAAAGGTTAGGTGCGGTAGCAGAATCCTGTCATCCCAGCTCTGATGGGAAATGTGAAACAGGGGGATCGTGGGAAAAATTGGGAGATCTCCCCTCCAAAATAATCGCAGTGGCAAGGAGCTGAGGGCGTGCGCAGCTCAGGTGGTTGCCGTGGAAGCCCCGAGTTCAGAGTCCACACTGCCCAAGGAAAATAATCATCGCACCAGCCGCTGCGCGTTTTACGCCCAGATGCAGAAACTTCAGCTCACTCAGAGAGGGGGAGACGTTTGTCTAAAGCCACACTGCGGGTTATTGGGAGGGATGAGAGGAGGCACGGAATGCCGCTTGCCTTCTTGGCTTGGGTCTAGAGTCCCAGAAGGCGACACCTCAGGCAGTTGTGGAATCTTCTGGAAGGTCTGTGGGTACCCTCTCTTGTGAAATGAGAATAGTAATGCCAACCTCATGAGGGATTGTGAGGATCTGAGATTAGGTTTTTCAACCCCAAAGTCCAGGAGTCTCAAATTAGGTTGGGCCACGTGAAGACAAAGAAGGCTGATTTCATGGCCGCCGCTGGACGACAGCAGACAGCCCTTTATTACCTCTCCAGTCATCTGGGGTACGGAGGTGGCTTCGGCAAGCAGAGTTCTGCCAGTTCCCGGTCACACTTGTGGCTTGGTTCACCATTAGCCCAGACTTTGCCTTTGGAGAATTGTTAACCACTTTTTCACAGGACAGAAGAGGATAAAGGTAGAGACCCTCAGTGGTTTGGGGCTGTGTTCTTTAAGGAGATAAGAAGATAGCGCCTGTCCGAGGGGTAGCTGGCCTTCCTTCTATGCAAAATGCTAATCCAGAGTCTTCTCTTCCTTGCTGAAGCGGGTGGTGATTGCAAAGTTCGCTGCAGCAGTGCACAGCTCAGATTGCAGGGTGCAGAGGCAAAGCTGGGGGTGGGGGGGTATTGGGGGGGTTACTTCATTCACAGGGCCCAGGGAGGAGCCAGCAACTGTGATCTTTATTAGCCCAGGGCTTGCCCAGATGTGGTTCTATTGTCTGCCACGGGATTCCAGCTCGCAGCCACTGGTGAGCAGTGCAGGGGCTGGTTGTAGTACCTGACCGCCCCGACTCAGCAGAAGGCTAGGGAGTTGTGAATAATGGAAGTGATGGTGACCTCACCAGGTGTCCCCAGGGGCTGCTTCCTGCAGCCAAATCTGGCCCGTATTTTTTTTTTTCTTCTGTTTGTTTTTGAACATGTGTTAGTGAGCGGAACAGCAGTTGCACATGACTTCCGGCTGTGTTGATTTCCCCAGAGCTCCTCATTCACCGAGAGCTGAGTCCAGACTCAGAACAGCTCTGGAGTGGGGGTGGGGAGGGGGGAGGGGAGCCAGGCCTTGCTGAGGTTTTCGAGTGGCTGTTTCTGTAATCCCCTGGTAGCCCTGTCCTGTGATTTCTCAACGCTATTTCTTAACCTTCTCAGCCCATTTCTCATCTACCCCACGGCTGGCTGGAACATTCCAGGCTCCGGTGTAGCTACTAGGGGTCAAGCTGGGGTAAGACACCGAGGTAATGAGCAAGAAGATCAGCGCAGGGTATGTGAATGGTCAGTGCTTTGGCAGATGGACACACACACACACACACAAACACACACACTGTTTATGAATGGCCTGCCCAAACTCTGCTATCGATTGTTGATCTCTGAGATACATCGGATCTGAATGATTGCGGCCGTGGAAGATGGCTGAGAGAGGAAAATGATAGCCGTGGTCACTGCCACGTTCAAAGGCCCCATAGAGGATGGAAGTTTCTCGTCCTCTTCCCTCCTTCCTCCTCCCCCTCTCCCGCCCCTGCCCTCCAATATTCCTCCAAATGGTGGCTGCTTCTCGGGTCCCCCAGGAGCCATGGGAGATGGCTTGTGAGACTTTGGGGGTGGGGTGGGGTGCAGGGGAGAGGATATTTTAAACCTTTCACCAGCCCGAGGTGTCTGGCCGCCCCCCCATGAAATCAAAGCCCTTGTGCTCATAATGCGGCCCGAAATAGCAGCAGTGAGTGGCCTTTAATGGAATTCACACATGGGGAGATCATTGCTAAGAATGGAGAGGAAGAGGGGCAGGGGGAGGGGCCGGGGGCGTGGCCAGCCCCGCGTCAACCCCAAAGCTTTGGCTTTGGAGCAGCTCAGAGAAAACACAAGACCTGAGTGTCCCCCCCACGTCCCACCGATCCCCCCCCCCAAAAAAAGAAAGAAACCGTCCGGTAGCACAGTCTGTCTGCAGGCTCCTATGTGCTGGAACCGTCCTGTATTTGCGTCCTGGCTCTGCCACTGAACAAAGCATTCCCCCTGGGGACCGTGTTTGTGGCACTGAGGAATCGAACCCAGGGCCTCATGCATGCTAGGCAAGTGCTCTACCACTACTCCACCTTCCCAGCCCCTCATTCCTTTTCATGTTTATGCTTTCAAGTTGTTGACTGTGCTCGGGGTTCGAACTCAAGAACCTTGCACTTGCTAGCAAAGTGCTCTGCCACTTGAGCCGTGGCTCTCTTCTCCCACCTCTTTTTTTTTTGTTGTTGTTGGTTTGTTGGTTTTCAGTGCTTTCTGAATAGGGCCTTGCATTTTGCTCGAGTAAAGCCTGGACTGGAATCCGCCCGTTTACCCTTCCAGTGAGGCTGGGGTGACAGGCTTGTACCACCACACCCAGATTTTTATTGGTTGCAGTGGAAGTCTCTGTTGCCACCAGCTAGCCTTGAACCTGGATCCTCCTGACTTGTATCGGTGGGATTACAGGAATGAGCCACTGCGCCCGGCTTGTTTGTTGTTTTCACACTGCAAAGGTAGTGCACACTCATTGTATGTAAGAGGCAAAAATACCAACTGAAGCATGAGGGCTTCCCACTCTCGAGGAGACACCACCATTAAACTATGTGGGGGCTTAGCTTTGACCTTCCCTGGGCGCGTGCTGTGACGCCCACCTGTAATCTCAGACACAGCCGCCTGGAAGGATGTACATCGTCAAGCAGACTGCTGTCTGCGTCAGGGAAGGAAGAGCAGAATGAGATTATACCAGACCGAGTGCTGCTTT